GTGAACTAGATTCTACAGTAATTGTTGAATTTGTAGAAGGTCATTTCCGTCTTATATTCAGTCTTATTTCTACCACTGCTGGCCCTACTCTGGCAGCAAACATTTCACTTCTTGCTCTGCAAGAAGCAATAGGCCTTTGGCTAGGTCCACTCTTCACAGGAATGAAAAGCAACCTCACTCAGATTTCACTATTATGGGGGGTATGATGGCTGTGAGAGAGAAACAACCCAAAATTCTTCCACTGATAACATGTATATTATTTCCTTTTTAAAGCTTTTCCTCACTTTTTTTTGGGGGGGTGGCTAGAGGAATGCTTCAAGGTCCCCATTCCATGTATTAATAACTCTATTCAAGTGTTAAATTCCAGCCTCCTCTTATTACAAGTCCTGTAATAAATCTTTTAAAATACATGTTTCATGTTAGCATGTGAAATATGACTAGTCTAAACTGAGAGGTGTTACAAGTGTAAAATACATGATCTAGTATGAAAAAAATCTCAATTACATTATTAAAACATTTTCCTATTGATTACATGTTGAAATACTATTTTGGATGGACTAAATTACATGTATTATAAAAAATAAAGTGATACCTGTTTCATTTTTACATTTTTAATATGGACATTAGAAACTTTAATTTTAGATTTGTGGTTCACACACTTTTATAGGACAGCACTGCTCTAAAAACTGCAAAGCTTCTTATATGGAAAAAAATTTCAGGCTCTTTTGTTGAGAATTATAAATACTTGAGTTGTTTTTTTTTTTTTTTTTGTAATACTTTCAACTGCCTTGTCCAAGATAAATAGTTACCAGATGGGTTTCTGAAAATTAAAAGTACGGTTGGCCTTGTACAAGCAAAATAAAGAGATAATTAGATCACAGTCCAAAGACTGAACAAAGTAAGAAAGAAAACAGGACCAAGGTAAATTATATCAGTGTCTAGGATGATAAAGTGCAACAAGAGAGAGCCAACTATGTCGACAGCAAAAGATGTGCTGGGAGTAGTGTGGAGATGTTTATGATAGTGGGGTAGTGTTACTTCAAACCTTGGAAGCAAGACAACTGGAAGGAAGGTAGGTAGAGCTACTATAATCAGTCACCTGCTTTTGGATTTTGGATCTATCTAGTTAGGATGTGGCTCTGTTCTCATCCCCCCAGAAGAACAGTGTGAAAGAGACAATAAATACAGTACACACCATTGAACTTGAATGGTGCTGTTACTCTCACATCATCCAAGTGAGAAGTCTGTGGTCTTTACTGTTTCCACTGAACCCACAAGGAAACAGGTTCAGAGAGGTTAAGAAAATTTTAAATCACGAATCTAGTAAAAGACAAAGATTTTAACACAGTTCTCCACCTGAGTCTAAATCTCATTGTTACCTTCCGTATTCTTTCCTTAATCAAACAAGATAGTCTCTGCTTTTAAGTAACTCTCAGCCTAGTGAAAAAAATACTAAATTTATTATAAATTACAAATTATTTGTTAAAATCTGGACTCAATATATCTTTTTTAGTGAATTGGTGGTGCTTAGAGACACACAATTTTGACTGCATTATTTTAAAGTGTGCTGGGAATGTAGAGTAATCTATTATAGTTTGTAGTCAGAGAAGTTTGATTATATTTGCTGTTGATTACTCAGTTCACCAAAAATGATTGTCTTAATAGTGTCTCTTTCTTGCTTTCCCTTCTCTTTTAGATCTAGTTTTTATTTATTTTGTAATTAAATATATTGAAGTGACGTTGATTAATAAAATTATGCAGTTTTCAACTGTGCAATTCTATGATACATCATCTGTGTGTTGCATTGTGTGCCAACCATACAAAGTCAAATCTTCTCCCGTTACCATGTATTTGACCCCCTTTTACCCTTTTATGACGACCCAGCCCTTTTTCCCTTGGTAACCACTATTCTGTTATCGTGTCTGAGAGATTTTGTTTGTTTTCTTGTTTGTTCATTTGCTGCTTTCAGTTTTATATGTCAGTACACATTAAACCAAATGGACATAATTGACTTTTTCAGAGCCTTTCACCCTAAAACACTAGATCGTGCATTCTTCTCTAGTGCACATGGAACAGTCTCAAGGCTAGACCTTGGGACACAAAATTAGCCTCAACAAATATAAAATTGTGATTGTTTTAATCAGATACTGATCTCACTTTTTCTAATTTTAATTGTGATGGACTGAGTCTTACTCATATCTGCCATCTCATCACATAGTCAAATGTCTAGCACACAGTTGATGATTTGTCATCGATTCATGATATGAACACATTTCTATGCAGTAAACATTCAACAAATAGAAATTGACTATTTCCTATTGGATAGACACCTAACAATGATACATCCTTGTGATAAACATTACCCACATGTAAGCATAGGGTGCTGTGACACATTAGGATGGAACTTAATCTAGTTTGATAAAAAGATTTCCAGAGAAGTGTTACTTAAGCTGAGACCTAAAGGAAGAAGTGAAGAAAGGGAAAGGATTAAAGAACTGGTGGAAATCTAAACACATTTCTACCAGAAAGAGGAGTGACAGGTAAAGGCATTCTGGACCTGCAGTTTGTTTAGTTTGGCATTTGGTTGGAGGGGGTAATTGGAAGAAGGGGTGAGAGTAAGAGGACTATGGGGAGGAAGGGAGGAAGGACAAAAGTTCAGTCAATGTCAAAGGGATCATTTTAAGAAACAATATATCACGCAATGCAATTCATTAAGACTACTAAGATGAATCATTTAAAATATAAATTTTGAACTATTTTATCTTACAAACACATTTTATGAAATTAAAAAAATTAAGACAGATTTCAATCTGATAATTTTGGAGACCTCATATTCATATATACATATGCATATTTATTATATATCCACTTTGTTACAATTCTATGGTTTGTACTATACTTATCATTTGGGTTATTTGCCTTATGATAAATAGGCTTTATTAGTGGCTTGAGGCATTATTATTTATTCATCTATTTTTCCAGGAACTATTATTTTAAATCCCAAATGTTTTCTGATTTTAGCTTTTAAATGAAGAAGTGTAAAATCAGTTCTACTTATTAATTTGATTAATCAGTTTATAAGTTTGGGGAGACTATATGCTTTAAAGAAAGGGTTGCATGAAGATACTTATCACAAACCCAGTTTTAAGTCTTAGTTCTTTGGCAAGTGTGTGTTTTTTCATGGGTAATATAATTTCAAAATTAGTGTAACATTTTCTGTTGGTGTAGCTAATAAGGATTATTAAATTGAATATAGTTTATAATTCTTCAAAGAATAATGTGTTACTTATAAAAATTTTTATCACAAATCCAGTACTTTGTTCTTTGGCAGATTCAAAGGAATCCTAAGTAGGCATTAAAATTTCTTAAGAAAAAATTGAAATCTTTGTATTATTTTAGTTGTTAACGGATAAAATTTATCTACATTATTATGATAATGTCTAAAGAAACTTTGTGTATACAAACAGTATACTCTTCTCACTTTTGCACTTTATAAATGAATGATTCTTTATATTTATGAACACAGGAGGATGGATAGCACATTCGATTCTCCTACACCGTAAAGAAAATTATCATTTGCATTTTTATCATCACTCTTTATGACAAATAATGCTGATCTTGCAGATTTCACCTTTACCATATACAGTGGAAATTAAGTTGAGCTTAAATTCATGTAATTTTGATTTGTGACTTGATCCATGGGGTTAAAAGACCAATAAAACATAAGCTATTTCTCTTATTCTATGGAGTTGAAAGGGAAGTGGGGAGATTGATGAAGGGACGATCAGGACTGGAAACTAGGAACAAATGGAGTTGTTTCCTCCCTGGCTCTGTCCCTTCCTCCATAAAGGGACGTTAAGCATCTCCGATGAATCAAATACTGAAAAGAGGAAAAAAGAAAACAATCACATTACATACAATCCTTTACTCGTTTTGGGAACTAAAATCAGATTTTAGTTTTAAAAATTCGCCAACTATATGTGGCGCATGCAGTTAAATGTGTAATCGTGACATATGATTGTCATAGACCTGCCCGGCTGGCATTTCGCACTGCACTTTAAAAACTACAGGAAAACCACGGTGAGGGATTCACCTTCACTTCCTCTTTTTGCAATCACTGCTCTCAGCCAACATAGTGATCGAAGATTAGAAGACTGGCCTTTGTTGTTATAAACCAACCCTCCTCCCCTCCCCGCCCCACTCCACTTGCCACTGCAATGCAAGAGGGACAACAAACAAACTAGTTTTTCTGGATGAATGGGGACAACGGAGGGAAGGAAGGAAGGGAAAGAAGGGAAAGAAGGAGGGAAGAAGGCAGGGACAGAGTGAGGGAAGGTGGGACTAAAACGAACGCGAGGTACTGTCCTTTCTCCCATTTGTTTTGCAGGTTCCCTGCTCTCTTCTCGGGTCTCCCAGGCAGGTGGCATCTCCTCCCGGCTCGGACCCCGGCCCCGCCCCCTAGCGTCGGAGCCGGGGAGCCTGCGGCTGGCGCTTATCTCTTTAAATGACAGCTGTGGCTCGGGTCCCAGTCCAGGGCTTGACGTCAGTGCCGCCTCCCCGGCTGCGAGGAGTAGTTAGCGCCACCATCCGCGCTCGGGACTCGCAGCGCCCTGGCAAGCTGCTGGGGCGGCGAGTTTTCTTTGCTCCGACCCCTCCACTCACCCTCCCCGCGGAGAACCTAGCGGCAGCGTAGAGCCTCTTGCAAGTCTCTCTCACACTTCCCCGCCGTCGCCCCAAAGGAGCATCCGCTCCTCCTAGCACCTCCACCACCACCGCCACCGCCGCCGCCGCCGCCGCCGCCGTTCCCGCTGAGCTCCTCTCCCGCGCTTCGCTCCCCCGATGGAGCCCGAGCGCAGCGGCCGCCAGCGCTGCCCCGAGCCCTGAACCGGGCCGCCCGGGCCGGAGGAACGTGCCGTCCGGCCAGAGGGCGTACCAGGCGCGCGTCAAAGCCGGGGGCCGCTGGGGGTGCAGGGCGCGGGCTTCGGGAACGAGAAAGTGCGGCTCTCCCGGGTCACCTGGCCGGCGGCGGGGCGGACCATGGCTTTGAAGGACACGGGCAGCGTCGGCAGCACCATCCTGCCCATTAGCGAGATGGTCTCTTCGTCCAGTTCTCCTGGCTCGTCGGCAGCCGCCGCCCCGGGGCTCTGCGCGCCCTCGCCCTTCCCCGAGGTGGTGGAGCTGAACGTGGGGGGCCAGGTGTATGTGACCAAGCACTCGACGCTGCTCAGCGTCCCGGACAGCACTCTGGCCAATATGTTCTCTCCTTCCAGTCCCCGGGGCGGCGCGCGACGCCGGGGAGAGCTGCCCAGGGACAGTCGGGCGCGATTCTTCATCGACCGGGACGGCTTCCTTTTCAGGTACGTGCTGGATTATCTGCGGGACAAGCAGCTCGCGCTGCCGGAGCACTTCCCGGAGAAGGAGCGCCTCCTGCGCGAGGCCGAGTACTTCCAGCTCACCGACCTGGTCAAGCTGCTATCGCCCAAGGTCACTAAGCAGAACTCGCTCAACGACGAGGGCTGCCAGAGCGACCTGGATGACAACGTCTCGCAAGGGAGCAGCGATGCGCTCCTCCTGCGGGGGGCGGCGGCCGCCGCGCCTTCGGGCCCGGGAGCGCCAGGCGGCGGGGGCGCGCTGGACAAGCGCTCCGGCTTCCTCACGCTTGGCTACCGCGGCTCCTACACCACAGTTCGAGACAACCAGGCAGATGCCAAGTTCCGGCGGGTGGCGCGCATCATGGTGTGCGGACGCATCGCGCTGGCCAAGGAGGTGTTCGGTGACACTCTCAACGAGAGCCGCGACCCCGACAGACCTCCTGAAAAGTACACGTCCCGCTTCTACCTCAAGTTCACCTACTTAGAACAGGCGTTCGATCGTCTGTCCGAGGCCGGCTTCCACATGGTGGCCTGTAACTCCTCGGGCACTGCCGCCTTCGTCAACCAGTACCGCGACGACAAGATCTGGAGCAGCTACACGGAATACATCTTCTTCCGTAAGTTCACCGTCTCCGCATTCCCTGGTTCTCCCTGAACCCGGACGGGCTGGTGTCCCAGAGGGAGATGGTTAATTAATAAACGCCTAGGGTTCCCTCTCCGCGCCCCTGTCGCGTAGCAGGCAGGGTCTGCACTTTCTCTTTTTGCGATCTCCCCTCTAGTCCCTCCGAGGCACGCAGGTCCCATGCAGTCCTCTTTCTTAACTTCATTGATCTTGCCCTCTCCCCTTCCCTGTATCTGGAATCTCTGGGCTCCCTTCTGCTGCGGAGGGCAGGGAGGGGACCTGGGATCGCGGGCTGGGCGCAGAGGTTCTCCTCCTCTCCGCTTCCGCGGGACTCCTGGGGACTAACTTATGTGAATGTCAGCGTTTCCTCTCGAGAGGGCAGGCTGGCATGGAGGCATCGCCGCGCGGCGCCGGGGTTACCTTCTCTTAGCGCTGGTACGGCGCAGGAGAGTCCAATTACGGGTGATTTCAGAACGGGGGCCACCTGAGAAGGGATGACTGTGCCTCCAGAGTCCTTATGGGGACCGGGGTATGAGAGAGGCTGGTGGGAAAGCGGTCTCCATCGACCCAGAGAAACCTCAGATTTTCCCAGGGCCACTTGTCATCTGTAATTGCTCTGTGCTTTGGATAGGGGAGGGTGGAGGGAACTAAAGAGTTTGGGTGGCTGTTGTCAGGGTTGGGATGGGCAGGGACACGGTGTGTGCGTGTGCCCGCATCTGTGTGTGTGAATATGAGAGCTGGGGGTCGGGAAGAGGGGGGAGAGAGAGAGGGAGGGGGAAGAGAGAGAGAGAGAGAGAGAGAGAGAGAGAGAGATGGAGAGAGGGGGAGAGAGAGAGAAAGGCGTGGCTTTAGAATTAGATCGTGTTTTTTAATAGCGCTGGGTTTTTTGAGAAAGCCATTTCAACGGAGAAGCTAAGAAAGTGTCCACTGAAGCGGTAGATAAAAATCTAATTGTCTTAATTATATCAAAGTATTATTTCTTGTTGCACAATGAAAAGAAAGAAAAACCACACAAATGTTATATTTTATTACTTATATATAAAGGTTTCTTCAATATATATTAAGTGATTAAACTATATTTAGCATTACTTTTTACATTTTATCCCTTATCAATAGGACCTTTATTAACATTTTAGATCTTAAACACTTACATCATTTCAACATGGATATATTTTCAAGCATTTCAGAAGATGAGATGAAATGAACTTTTGGCTTCCTTGTGGTTAGTGATTTTTTTTTTTTTTTTTTTGTTAGAAAAGATAAGCATAAGTGTCCTGCAGTTTAGTTTCTTGCATTTTGCGATCTTTCAGTTTTGGTCTTTCTTTTTCCCTGAGAAAGTTGTGGTCTTAAAAATGTTCATTAGTTCGGATATAAAGAGGTAATAACAGATTATCTCTGAATTATGAAAAAATGCCCTTAAAATAGTGTATTGAAATTGGAAATTCAGTCAATTTAACTGATAAGATAATTTGAGAGATATTTGGAATTGAGAATATGTCACTTCTGGAGCAAGTGTACAGCAAGTATACATCGTGTTTAGTGGTCTCTATTTAAAATTAATATCAGCATTATTCAAAACAATATTATTGGACAAACTGCCTTTTTGACACAATACTTTCAACAAATATTTGTTTACTGTATAACATGCATAGCCATTTTAACATCTTTGTAAATTCAGGCTACATATGGACTTAGTTTGAACCTTCTCTAAAATCTGTAGAATTATAGCTTATACACCTGCTATTTGCTAAATGTGATATTGATTAAATTATGTATTTGTTCTATGTCTCAGCTTTCTCATCTAATATGTTATCGCACCAATTTAATAGGATTTGAGAATACGCGTAAAATGTTTAGAACAGTGTTTGACCTGTAGTAAAAGCTTAACACGGGTTAACTGTTAAGAATTATAATTAATAGAGTACAAATTGTATTATTCTTGTTGATATTAAATTTTAATTTTTATACTAAGTATAGTTGATTTAATTGTAAAATTAATTGGAAAATTATTTTGCAATTAAATGTTAGCATAGTAAACTTTCAGAAGCGTGAAACAAGCAATTTAGTAACCAACTTCTTTCCTGGAACTGGGATTTTTCAGGCCAAGTTCAAGTCACCTAGCTTTGCCAATCATACATCCTTTAGTTTTTTTTGGATTAACTCCAACAGAATTCTTTTCTGATTCAGGGCCAACGTTTACTACTCTCAACTATGACTTGAAACTTTGGCAGTATTTTCTGACAAACGCTGAGCTAGATTTATATTTCCTTAAGTGCTTGTATCCAAGTCACTGGGTTCCAATACCAAAGGTTGTATACAGGCTATTAAACATTTAATATCAACTTCATTTAGCTACATGGACACTCATCTATTCTGAATCTTTTTTTTAATAAACATTTTATTTATTTATTTTTTTAGAGAGAGGGAAAGGGAGGGAGAAAGAGGGGGAGAGAAACATTTATGTGCCAGAGAAACTGCTGTCAATTGCCTTTTGCAAACCCCTAAACAGGTGCCTGGCCTGCACCCCAGGCATGTGCCCTGACTGGGAACTGAATCTGTGACCCTTTGGTCTTCGGGACGATGCCCAACCCACTAAGACACACCTGTCAAGGCTCTTCTGAGTCTTAACTCATTTTATGAAGTCGTTCAGACTCTGCAACATATACTAGTACTTTTTATTGCACTTTACATTACTCTTCTAATACTTAAGAGGGAGTGTCCTTTCTTGAAGAAAAACAGTGATTTATTGGGTTTTCTTTTTTTAAGAGTGTGTCTGTTAAGTGATTTTATGGCTGTTTTTAGCAATATCTGGGAGACAAAAAATTTGCCATTATATTACATAGATAGTACATAGTTAACTGCTTGAAATGTGATATATAGACCACTGATATTTAAAAATAGCATTACATATATCTTTTATTTCTCATAATCAGTAGGTTTACAGAAACCTGATACTGATTGATTGGTCTCCTCTTAACAGTGCTTCAAATTTTGTGCTCCCTATGTTGGCTGAGTATTATGTTGTGTGAATGTACACCTTTCTTTAGGATTTCTCTTCATATTCTTTAAGTTTTGTGTATCCTTTTTGTTGTGATATATGAAATTAATTAAGAATTAATGCTATTAGTGAACTGGGCTGTGAAATCTAATTTGTCATACGATAGTTTTATATCCTTTCTTTCAAATTATGATTTAATTCATTTGGTTGGGTTGAAGAAACCTAGTCAAGTTGGAAACGTTAAAACTGCTATTCAATCCTGTGTTAATAGACCTGTTGCATTAAATGGTTTCTAAGAAATATCTTTAAAAAGTCATTCTATCTAGATGAATATCTTTACAATTATATATTATTTTCCAGTTTAAAAATATATCTACTTTTATTGCCAAACACTGTTTTATGGAAAACAACTTTGTTAATCACTTTTTAAGTTGGCTCTTTTCCTCCTGAAAACTTATTACTTATTTTTATAATTATAATGTAAAAATTTCTTCTGCAACCACATGGCTGATGACCTTTGAATCAGTGGAGAATAAGAAAAAGGAAAAGACAACTTTATAAAACACAAACACTCTTGTTTTATGTAAATAACTGCAATAATAAAGCAAAAAAAAAGGACAAAGACCTTGGAGTATAAAAACTTTGTCGATTGTGCTATGACATTCCCTCTTATTTGAGGGTATTAAACTGTTATGTCTGGCATAGTACTGTTTCTAAACTTGATCCTTTTTATAGTGTTGGATGTTACCTTTCCCTGCCTCCATTTTTATGGCTTCTTGTTGGTCAATCATTATGCAGATAATGAAGCTGAAAGACTGAATGGTATTACAGGCCTTATTTGGCAGTGTTTTTTATTTTATAGCTTAGAATACTAGAACTCACAATCTATGTGTGTGTGTGTGTGTGTGTGTGTGTGTGTGTGAAAATAGCATTGGCAATTTAGGAATTTTATAAAAGAAAAGTTAAATTTGAAAAATGATCACCAGTAATTGCTAATAAAATCTTGATTCATTCCTTCCTAGTCTTTCTTCTATGCATATATAGATGATAGACATATTTAAAAAGTTATGATTTATACCTTATAGATGGCGTGTATGCTGTCTTTGTTTTACATTTAATGACATTTACCCCATGACATTAACTTCTTTATTGTCTTCTTAGATAATAAAATATAATACAAGTCTTTTGCCATAGACAATATTATAAATATTAGTGTTGAATATTTCCCCTGCAAGCTTAGGAAATATTTGGCTGTTTTTAAAGTACAGAATGTGTAGTAAAAAGAACAATTACTAAGTACCTAACTTTGTGAGGTGTTTTATGTACAACTTTGTTTACTTTTTGTAACATTCCACTTAAATTTAAAACATTAAGGTAGTTATATGCTCTTCTTATGCAGAATATTAATTTTACCTTGTGTAATGGAACACATTTTTTAGAATATGGCAAAAAATAGAGGCTATTTTAGTTGAAATCAATTTTGTTAATTATATACTGTTTGTTGGTCTTAAATATTAGTTAATGACATTAAATTATATACTTGGTATAATTAAGTTAAAAATAAGTATCATGTACCTGTTGAGCATTGGGATTGGCTTCAATAGTTCTGAAGCCTTAAAGCATTATGAAAAATATGTATTTATACTTATAATGCAAACTATATGTGTAAACTTGAAATATTTGAAAATTAGCATTTTGGATTACTCTTCAATCTATATTTAATTACACATATTTTAAGAGCCTCATTAAAATTAACTTCAGGATATTTGAGGGAACAGTTTATCGGTTAGCAGCTGCACTGTGCAGGACATGCTGGTGGTATCTCTAATGAGTTCCTGCTTTCATTGGTAAGGCTTCACCACCAAAGGTTTTGCAAAGACTCACCTAAAGAAGAGAGTAATTGTATTCACAGGATTTCAAAGTCACTCCAACTGGAAGTTAAATACATAAACTCTAAGGGTAATGGTGAACTTCCAGCTGCTGACTTGGGTATACAT